TTCATTCTCTAATTCTCCCCTCATACTCCTGGATTTTTTTCTCTTTTTCTCAGCTTCCTCTTATTCCATAATTTTATCTTCTAATTCACCTATTCTCTCCTCTGCCTCTTCAATCCAAACTGTGGTCACCTCCACTTTATTTTGCACCTCATTTATAGCATTTTTTAGCTCCTTCTGACTGTTTCTTAGTCCCTTGATCTCTGTATCAATAGATTCTCTGCTGTCCTCTATACTTTTTTCAAGCCCAGCGATTAATTTTATGACTATTATTTTAAATCCATGTTCCGTTATATTGCTTAAATCGTTTTTGATCAATTTGTTAGCTGTTGCTACTTCCTGGAGTTTCTTTTGAGGAGAGTTCTTTCATCATTTTGGGTAGTCCCTGGGGTGGCTTCCAACTGCAGGGCACTTCCCCTGTGCTGTCTGGAGTAATTTGTGTTGGTGGGCGGGGCTGCAGTCAGACCCAATATATGTCCCCAGCCCATGGCTGGGGCCACAGTCAGACTGGTGTGTACCTTATCTTCCCCTCTCCCAGGGGCAGGACTCACTGTGGAGTGGTGTGGCCCCTGTCTGGGCTACTTGCACACTGCCAGGCTTGTGGTGCTTCTTCTATGGGATCTGGCGTAACAGCTGGCGTGGATCTGCAAGGTGCACAGGGTCAGGAGGGGCAGGCTTCGTTCGTTTGGCCGTGGGTGGTCCCCTGTGGGAGGGGCCCTGCACCACCCGGATGGAGGCACGCAGACCCATTGGAGGAATGGATCCACAGAAGCACAGTGTTGGGTGTTTCGGAGGTGCATGCAAGTCGGAAATTACTATTTAATAATCCAGAGGTCACAGGAGGAATTACAAAACAAATTTAAATGTATTTTGAGCTGACAGTGAAAATATAGTAACTCAAAACTTGCTCAAAAAGAAATTCATAGCTTTTAGTTGCACATACTAGAAAAAAAATGCCCTAAATTAATGAACTATAAGTCCATTCCAAGAAGTCAGAAGAAAAGGAAATTAAACCAAAAGAATGTCAGGTGAAGGAAATAATAAAGATAAGCCCACTCCAAAGAAATTGAAAATAAACTCATAAAAAAGATCAACAAATACGATCATCTCAAAAGCTACTGTTAAAGCATATGATTAAAATTTAAGATATATTCATGATAAAGCCTCCAGAATGTAAGAATAGCAATTAATTTCCTTAATACAATAACAGATTCCTATACAAACACACAGCAAACATCATACTTAAGAATGAGATGTTGAAAACTTTCCCTTGGAAATTGGTAATGACAAAATGACAAATTATCTTGATATTTAGTCATACTCTACTGGCAGTCTAAGTTTATGCAATTATTAATACAATAAAAAATAAAAGGTATAAAGACAGAAAAGGAAAAAAAAATCACCTGTCATTATCAATAGTTATGAGTGTGTAGGTATAGGTAGATCCCAGAGAATACATTGATAAATTCTTAGAATAATGACCTTTGGGGTGCCTGGATGGCTCAGTCGGTTAAGCAACTGACCCTTGATTTCGGTTTGGGTCATGATCTCCTGGTTGTAGGATCAAGCCCTGCATCAGGCTTTGCCCTGCTAGTGCAGAGCCTGCTTGGGATTCTCTCTCTCCCTCTATCTCTCTGCCTCTCCCTTGCTTGTACGCATGTTCATGCTCTCTCACTCTCTCTCTCAAAATAAATAAACATTTAAAACAGAGAGAGAGAGAGAGAATAATAACCTTTAGCATGGTTTTTGGATACAAGGTCAAAAAAAATTATATTTCTATATACTGGCAACAAAGTTAGAAAATAAAAGATATCATTTACAATACTATACAAAAAAACCCCACAATTATCTAGGAATATATCTAAAAGACTCAAACAGGGGAGCTTGGGTGGCTCAGTTGGTTGAGTGTTCAACTCGATTTCAGCTCAGGTCATGATTTCAAGGTTCGTGGGTTCAAGTCCCATGTCAGGCTTTGTGCTGGCAGTGCGAGGCCTGCTTGGGATTGTCTCTCTCTCCCTGCTCTCCCC